TCTTACAATGAAGAATGAACTCAGAAATTTGGAGAAAAATATTGAGCATAAGAATCATGTTCCTAGCTGGACAGAATGATGTTGGCCAAGCAGAGGATTCGATAGTCAACCTAGAATTTTTTAACGTGAACTAGGGCTCCGTTTTTCGATCCTGATTCCATCATTGCCTCAAGAAGAGCAACATCTCTGGCACCTTCAATATAAGATAAGCGAGGCTCGACTTCATGGCCATTTCCCTTCTGCAACAAAGCGCGAAATAGGATCACATGATAGCTTTGTCATACATGCGAAGAATGTAGCACCTAGAAACTTAATTTTATGCAGCTTGAGACCATAAAATGAAAATCAGGATCTTACATTGTCTCAACGGGCAACAAAGACGTTTAGATAAATAACAATGGGAAAGAAGTTGAAATGCAAGAATGAGAGTGGCGACTTTGTATCAGACTCCATAACATAAAAGAAGGAAATGATGTATGAAGATGAGCATGAAAATTAGCGTCCATTGTACCTTAGCCTCTTGAATGTCATGTATGAAAGTTTTAAATTCATCAGTCACTCCACTGAATGGGTAGAAGAAACTTTTGCACTGCCCATCAGCAGTATAATATAAAACCTGTGATAATTGTAAGACATCAATATAAGAGCATCTCTTCGCACCAATTGATCTAGAAAACCGTTTTCAGTCTCAAGGCGAACAGAACAATAAAAACTTCGAAAGAGCCCATTTTGGCTTCAACTTATGATTTTCAACGATATAAACTACCATCACTAGAGTAAGAATTAATATTTCAATATACCGTGTAACCCTGGCGTCCATTTTGGTTTCCACGCTCAATTTGTATCGTTCCTTTCAAACCAACAACTCGCCAGAATATCTGAAGTTACCAAAGACTATAGGTAAAGAGTAATGAATGAGCACAAATATTGTTTGGAAGTAAACTATAACTTTACCACATGCCTTTGAAGATCTACTGGAAACAACCATCACAAAAACTCCAGAGCATCCATTCTCCAGTTGACTGAGACAATGAAATTCCAAATACTCATATTTAGGATTCCATTTTTTGTCAGAAAGACTTTCTTAAACAATCATATATCATTCTGGAGACGACTTACAAGTTGGATGATATAATGTCAGGTGGAGGTAAAGTTTTGTCCACGTGACAGGTCGTGGCTGATGCTGAGACAACCTCACATCCAACGAGCTTCACACAAAAGCAAGAAAAATCACATTCAGAATTCAAGTATGGCTATTTAAGCGTGCAAAAAGAAATCTATCTTTTTTTCTAAAAATTAAACCTCAATTATTTTTCTCATTAATAAATAAACCTAGAACTCATCAAAATTAATGCCCATTCCAAACAACTTCAACTGAGGTTGTTGCAATAACATGAGTATGTGGTTTCTAAAGTGATAAGTTATGCAAGTAAGACGAAATTTGGCAGCAAGAAAACGAACAAAAAAGAAAAAGCTGTGTCATGGAAATAGAATCCCACTTCATATTTACCCAGAGTTGCGCCCACCAAAGTGGAGTTATGGTAGGTGATTTGACAATGTCTAGCTGAAGGCTTTTGCATGGGGTGGCCGTTAGGTTTGATAAAAGGCAAAATTAGCTAAGTAAGAATAGGAGAGCATGGTGTTTTAAATAACCCAAACTATAGTTTAGTAATCATCGAGTATAAAAGAATTTCCTGATTACCATCCTTAATCCTGCAATGAAATGCACACCCATATCCAAAATGAAACCTCCCTGCCCAAAAGCAATATACATTTGTCAACATATAACACGAAAGGATTAAAGATAAATATGATAAGAACAGAGAAAGACATAATAAATAAACAAGTATGGAAGAAATTTCTTGGACTATTAAGATGTGCAACAACATAATACATGAAAGAGGAATAACAAATGCACTCTTTCTACTTAACAAGTGAAAAGAAGCAAGCATTCTGACCATGTGTACTTTGGTATCATATACATATTGTATCTCATCTCATAGTCAAGAAGACACAGTCATGATTCAATATAGGGCTTAAATGGTATTTTAACTAGATATTTTTGGTATACATCTATTCATGCTTTTTAATATTTCAATAACTTAAGTCTCTGTTCTGTTCATCTTCTTTATCTTTTGGTAGTCGAAGGTATCTCAGTAGTTTCTAAAGTCTTCAACCTACAGAACCAGCTAAGAGACAGATGTGTAAATTAACAATCTATGATTTTTAAGTTTGGCTTAGATATGCTATTCAATTCAGAAAGAGTGCTGTAAACTGACCCCCTAGCCCCTACATATTTTATTCAATTCTCATATCAAGAGAGAACTAAAACATGAACAATATTGATCTTGGATTTATTACTGATTTGATTGAAATAAACGTTAAATTCGAGGTCAATTTACCACATTAAATAGTGAAAGCCCAAGTCCCAATCTCTTATATTGTATTTTAATGTCAAAGTTCTAATTCCGTAGTTTCCTATTTCTGAGTCCAAGTCACATTTCATATTTCCTAAATTTTTTTATGATCATTAGAAATTACAATGAAATACATACTGTGAAATTTCGCCTCCAAGAGCTTGAGAAGTATGGATTTGAACTGTTCATTGATCCTTCAACAATAACTTGGACACTCATCATATCCCCAATCTCTGCCATTAGTTTCTTGGACTGCAAAGAAATAATCAGCATCTAGTAAATTGTAAATAAAACGAAATCAGATGCCATAAACAAATACCTCGACAAAGGCAGGTTCAAATCGATAATTTTCTGCCACAGCCCAAATTGGTTGACCACGTACATTGGCACGAATAGAGTTGTAGCCTGACAATGCCTTTTCTATCTCACTTATAGCTGCATATGAAACAAATGTTCATTGGCTTAAAGGTAAATTTCTTAAATATAACATAAATCCAAGGGATTTATCTGGAGAACTTATTACAGATATAACATTAACTCAGAAGATGAGACAGGGACACAAAATGGCTGTTAAGTTTCATTGTAGTGTTTAAAGAAGATTCATAAAAAAGCATAAAAGATAAAATAATTTGAAAGTGGTGACACTGGATTGAGATATCTCAGAAGATTATAAAGACCGGAAAAAATGTTTAGGAAAAGTTACGAGATACAAGTACCCTGTTATATAAATCTGAAATGAAAATTTAGCTCAAATTGGTTAACAATTCCTAGACTGATGACTTTTTTTCCTCTCTTCTATCTTTCTTTTTTATTTAATTTTTATAAGAAACACATAAAACAGGAACATATGCCTAGATTGATAATTAATTTTCAGCAGGGTTGCAGCATCAAACTTGGAGTAGAAAGGACTACAAGTTGTGGTGACGCCTAATACTTTCTAGGAAATATTAAACTAAGGAAAACCAATTTGTTTTTGATGGTGATAAGACTAGGTTCCAAGTTAAATCAGAAGGGTAGACTTCCTTAAGATAAACAGAAGTATCATTTTTTATGTTTTCAACTTCATTTTGATGTCCGAGAAAAAAGGACATGATCCAGCTCCCAGCCTTGATTTCGAGTACAAGAGACTAATATGGAAATGTAATCCCCATTTTAGATCTAATGATACATCTTTGATATTGAAACATTTTATCATGTTCTTAGCACATCTGTTTATTACTATGACAGATTTTGTCTGATGAAAAGTTTAAAGTCAAGAATTTTAAAGAAGTTGAATTCTGTAGCAAACCTTTGTCTAAAAAATGGTCCATATTTTTAAAAATTGCATGACTTCCACTTGTCTGGGTGATAGTGACTAACCATAATTAACACATCATTTATAAAAAGAAAAAGACAATCATTACGAGATAACATTATGTACATTCCAATGCAGAAGATTAAAAGAACCAACCAAAAAAAATTCCTTCTAGGACAATGAAAAAGTCAATTAAATATTGAACTTACAAGCTGCTGCTGGTTTCTCTTCAGATTCACCAAGATGGCCAAGCAAACACGGCGTGTCCAAACAAAAGAGAAATTTTAGTAGATTCCGCAAAGGAGAAATTCAGAAGCAGCAAAAGATATATTTCAATGATAAGACATTTATGCACAGGACTAATATACAATGAAAGCTCTGCAAAACTCCCTATCTCTTCTACTTTTGTCCGTAAACATAAAAGGTTAACTGGTACAAACACTCGGATTTTACAAAGATAAAATATACCCAAACTACATCCCTTTAGAGTTAGTTAGCAGGAATCACCTTGAAGGACATGCTTCCCTGCCTTCAGAAGTTTCAGTGATATATCAACCTGCAAGAATCAATTTAAAAGGAAGTAATGACATTTTACTTATAATTTATAGCTCTTCCAACCAGATTGTAGTAAGTAATACTGTTGTTTAGTAAAGAAGGTGAACAAGGTCATCCAAAGAGGGTGTGCTTAAAATCTATCCTAAAAGAATTCCAATTTGACACTTAACAATAGATTTCAGCTCATTCTCTTCTAAGTCATTGAACTCTGAGTTCCAATTATCTATACAAGAAGGAAAGTACTGAACATACATAAACACGGTTCTTTCATCACTTTTTAATCCTAACAATGCTTTCTTTCTCCAATCACAAAAAAAAAAAAAATCACTGTAACAATATAAAAAAAAACTATACTGGAGCCACAATGCCACTAACTTTACTGTTGCCATTATACCACTAATTTAGTAGTGACCTAAAAGATAGTGGTAATATAACCAGGATATATAATTCAGTAGTGGTGGTAACTTCTACTGGGATCACAGCTTTGACGCAAAACATGCATGAAAAAAGCCAGCATTATTACCGCAATTTTGTATGGCACAGAAAACAATACCGGTGCCGAAACGGTTAACCAAACTTTATTGGTGCAGCAGAGGATAACAAGAAAAACTTTTAAAAAACTACCAAACCTTGAGCAAAGAAAACAATACAATATCAAGAAGCTGAAAGGAAAGAATATAATAATACAATACTTTCCTATTTGAATAAATTTATGAGAATCAAAACCTTGAGCAAATGTATTGAAAATAACATCCAATTCACAAGGAAACACAAAAAAAATTTTACATAGAAAAACTACTTCAATGCGAAGACAGCAAAAAACCACAGGAATCTAACAATCTATTAAAATCCAGTATGATCAAAAGAGTTTACAGCAACCACAATCCACCAAAAATATTTCACACAAATTTAGAGCTCAATCACAACTCTAACACAAGTAAAATACATAAAGGTTTACAAAGAGATTGATTAAAATCACCAGAGACGCAGTCAAACTTCAAACTATATAACTCCAAATCCAACCATTAAAATCAAAACTCAACCATCTAGATTAAAGATCCACACATCCTCTGCGTAAAGGGCGGACCCAAACCTTGTGAAGGTAGGCCCAAGTCTACCCTCAAATTAAAAAAATTTGAAGAGTTATTGACTAGGCCGACTGTCAAATTAAAAAAAATTTGAAGAGCTATAACCAAAACTTTTTAATTTGAGAGTAAGCCTGAGCCTATCTTCACAAGGCCTGTGTTCGCCCTTGGTGATAGGTTACGACACCCGTACATATTATAATGATCATACACCAGTAACAAAATTTAATCATATACCAGCTTCTATGCTTTCAAAATCTAGCCGTTAAAATCACCATAGAAGCAATCAAACTTCAAGTTGTATAACTCTAAATCCAGCCGTTAAAATCAAAACTCAACCATCTAGATTAAAGATCCACACATCCTCTACGTACAGGGGTGAAACCAAGCCTTGTGAAGGTGGGCCCAAGTCTACCCCAAAATTTAAAAAAAAAAAAAAAAAAAATTGAAGAGTTATTGACCAGGCCGACCCTTCAACTTTTTTTAATTTGAGGCCAGACCTACCCTCACAAGGGTTGGGTCCGCCCCTGGTGATAGGTTATGACACCTGTAACATGTTATAATGATCATACACCAATAACAAAATTTAATCATATACCAACATCTATGCTTTTAAAATCCAGATGTTAAAGTCACTAGAGAAGCAGTGAAACTTCAAGCTGTATAACTCCAAATTAAGCCGTTAAAATCAAAACTCAACCATCTAGATTAAAGATCCACACATCCTCTGCGTACATGACAGACCCAAGCCTTGTAAAGGTAGGCCTCAAATTAAAATAATTTGAAGAGATATTGACCAAGTCGACCCTCCAATTTTTTTAATTTGAGATTAGGTCTGGGCCTATATTCACAAGTCCTGGGTCTGCTCCTAGTGATAGGTTACGGCACCCGTAACATATTATAATGATCATACACCAGTAACAAAATTTAATCATATACCAGCATCTATGCTTTCAAAAGATAAGTTGTTATCGTTGTGATGGTGAAGCTACTGAAAGAAACCGTTGAGGATTCAGTCTTGGTGGTAGAGTTGTTATTTTTTCGTAAAAGGCTTTTGACTAGTATTATCCTTTGAAGAGCTTTTTTTAGAATTTCCACTCTCTTTAGCAAGAAGAACTTTTGCAAAAATGCCTTTAACGTGTCAACTTTACACCAAGAATGAATCCTCATAAATTTTTCCTCTTAGCAATTTCACCATCACAGTAAAAGCAACTTTTATTTTGATAGCATGAATTTTAGTATGTGATTAAATTTGTAAATGCACTTGTTATATTACATGAAGTGTTAAATCCTGTTTGAATGTATTTAAAAATACTCGCAATTGTGGTATCAATAATGTTACTGTGAGAGTGTATATTATTAGATAGATTAACAGTTTTCTTCAAAGAAAACTTCTTTATATGTATGACAGTTGCTTTCATTGCAACTGTTATATATTGATGGTAACTGCCTTTGGCATTTGTCACAAGTGGGACACCTATGATGAGACCCACTTGTGGCAATTGCCAAAGGCAGTTACCACCTAATATACTACAATTGCAATGAAGGCAACTGCTATATATATAAAAAAGTTTTCTTTGAATAAAATTGTTACTCTATCTAATATAAAATACAAAAGTTTTTTCTGGATTTCTCTCAATCTACACTTCTGCTTCAATTGGGATTGACAAAGGAAATGAGGTATTTATGCTGTGATTTTCTTTATTACAATTCGTTAATTATATTAATGTGATTGCAATGATGAACATATTAACATGATCTTGGGATCAAATTAGGGAGTCTGCGTCTTTCTTAATTTACTAACATATATCATAGGTAAATTATAAGTGATATAAAATGCATAATAACATGATAAAATAACATTGTACAAAAATAAGAAGAGTAAAAAGTACGAGTAAGGCCAGGCCGCTAGCCCGCTAGAGCATAACAAAGTAAGAATGAAAGGAAGAAGAAACCTGAATTTGTTCAACAAGAACTCATAGCAACAGCAACATTACTGATACCGTGAATGATAACGTTTATGGTACCCATAATGTTGTCATGGTTGTCTTTTATCAGCAACATTCCCATAATCGGGAAGTAGGAGTGAACCACGACAATTTTAAAAGATTAATATAAATATTATCTATTTTATCCCTAATTTTCAGCCCCCCTTATTCATTAATTCTTACACTTTGGCCCCCTAAATGTACCTTCCTAAATTCATTTTTTATCAAGCCCCTCATCTCATTCATTGAATATTACACTTTGACCATCAAATTTAATTTTCTAACTTCGACCCTATAAAAAAGGATAAAAGTAAATGTTACTGCTATCAGTACCAGATACCATCAGGCACGTAGCCACATAATGGCTTGTTGGTTCAATTGAATCCACTGAACTTTTCAAAAATTTCAGAAAAGTATTAATAGTTTATGGATTTTGCAATTTTAACCCCACTTAACTTCATGTTAACCTCACAAAATAAATTATTAATTAATACTTTTTAAACTTCTCTTTTCTTTATTTCCTCTCATATTATATTTGTCCTTTGGTTGGATACTCAAGAAAGGCTACTCCTTTGGATTACAAAGTAAGATGATACTAATTTTATTTTTTACTTAAAATTAATTTTTTTCTTTTAGATTTCTTAATTGATGAAAGATCACGAGTTATGGGTTTTTGTTGAGTTCAATAAATAGGTTTGAAATAATTCATAGATTTTGATATGGGTTTTGATTTAATCTTGTTTATGTTGAGGTATAGGTTAATTAATTGTTGTTTTAAGTTGGGTTTGATAAATTGTGGTTAGTTATTGACTTAATTTTGAATATGGTTTAAGGAATTGATGAAACCCTAAGTTGTAGAGATTTGATTTAATTTTGATATATTGGTTAATCGCTTGATATTTAGAGTTATATTTGATGAGTTTTCACGTATTTATGAGTTGAATTTTATTGGGTTAGTAGAATTTTTTTAAAAAACCTTAAGTTAGTTGAATTTTGATAAATTTGTGTTGTTTTTTAATTGTGATTGCAAATAAATTATATTTCTGATAATAAAAATTCTTTTATTTTTTTAGTTACGGACAAGTTTTTTATCAAAAGTAAGTTTTCTAATGAGGAACTATCAATTGAACAAAACATAAGACGTCACGATAGTGTTCACAATGAGCCTATGGAATCTAGTTCAAGACAAACAGATGTTGAGCTTAACTTGAGTAGTCTTCCTGCAGATCCTGGATTGAGGATTAAAATTTTAGAATATCATCCTAATGATAGAGACAACGTGAGAAGGGCAAACTTGCAAAAATGAAATTGATGCAGTTGTTGGACAAAACACTCCTAGTAATGTTAAGCTAACCTCTCTTGATATTCAACATGACATTATTAATGTTTTTGTCATTGAAACTGTTAATGCTATTATTCATGATCTGGAAGATGATTTTTTTGCAATTTTGGTGGATGAATCTCGCGATATATCTGTGAAAGAGCAAATGATTGTTGTGTTACGTTATGTTGACAAAAAAGGATATGTAGTTAAAAGATTTCTTGGCATTATTCATGTTAATGATAAAAGTGCTTCTTCTCTTAAGTTATCAATTGATTCATTATTTTCCAAGCATGGAGTAAGTATATCAAGGGTAAGAGGGCAAGGTTATGATAGAGCTAGCAACATGAGAGGTGAATTCAATGGGTTAAAAAGTTTGATCATGAGGGACAATGAATCAGCATATTATATTCATTGTTTTGCTCATCAGCTTCAGCTTACACTTGTTGCTATTGCAAAAAATGATGTTCAGGTTGGAAGTCTTTTTAACATGGTAGCTGATCTAGTAAATGTTGTTGGGAGCTTCTTGTAAGCGGCGAGATATCCTTCGAGAATGTCAAGCCGCTCATGTTTCTGAAGCATTATCTATTGGTAAACTTACAAGTGGACATGGATTGAATCAAGAAGCTACGCTTAAAAGAGCAGGAGATACACGTTGGGGTTCACATTATGGTACACTTGCATCTTTGATTGTTATGTTTCCATCTGTGGTAGATGTTCTTGATAATGTTGTTGAGGATGGTTCAGATTCTAAACAAAGAGCTCAGGCTTCTACTTTGTTAGAGTTTATACAGTCTTTTGATTTCATATTTAGCTTACATTTGATGAAGACTGTGTTAAGCATTACAAATAAATTATTAAATGCTTACAAAAGAAAAATCAAGATATTGTTAATGCAATGAAATTAGTGAAGTTATCTAAACAAAGGTCATTTTTGCAACTATGTCCTTCTCACTTTATCTCTATCATTAGGATGATATTCTAAAATTTTAATCCTCAATCCAAAATCTGCAGGAAGACTACTCAAGTTAAGCTCAACATATGTTTGTCTTGAACTAAATTCCACAAGCTCATTGTGAACACTATCGTGACATCTTATGTTTTGTTCAATTGATGGTTCCTCATTAGAAAACTTTCTTTTGATCAAAAACTTGTCCATAATTAAAAAAATAAAAGAATTTTTATTATCATAAATATAATTTATTTGCAATCACAATTAAAAAACAACACAAATTTATCAAAATTCAATTAACTTAGATTTTTCAAACAATTTCTACTAACCCAATAAAATTCAACTCATAAATACATGAAAACTCATCAAATCTAACTCTAAATATCAAGCAATTAGCTAATATATCAAAATTAAACCAAATCCTCAAATCTCTACAACTTAGGGTTTCATCAATTCTTTAAACCATATTCAAAATTAAGTCAATAACTAACCACAATATATCAAACCCAACTTAAAACAACAATTAATTAACTCATACCTCAACATAAACAAGATTAAATCAAAACCCACATCAAAATCTATGAATTATTTCAACCCATTTTTTGAACTCAACAAAAACTCATAACTCATGATCTTTCACCAATTAAGAAAGCGAAAAGAAAATAATTAATTTTAAGTAAAAAGTGAAAATAAAATTAGTTTCATCTTACCTTGTAATCCAAAGGAGTAGTCTTTCTTGAATATCCAACTAATAGACAAATATAATATGAGAGCAAAAGAGAGAAAATAAAGAAAAGAGAAGTTTAAAAAATATTAATTAATATATTTTGTAGGGTCAACATGAAGTTAAGTGGGATTAAAATTATAAAATCCATAAACTATTAATACTTTTTTGAAATTTTTGAAAAATTCAGTAGATTCAATTGAACCCACAAGTCACTATGTGGCTCCGTACCTGTTTTGAACCTACTGACTCAGAAGAATCCTGGCTACATCCCTACATCCCTGGATACCATGAGACACAAGTAACATCAACATGATCACGCAAACCACTTGTAACGACAGATGCTGCAGAGGACAACAGCAACATTACTGCTACCGGTAACATTACCATAGTTGTGTGTGGTACCGGTAACTTTACCGGTACTGTTATTAAGGATAACAGCAATGTTACTGGCACTGATTATCCTGGTGCTGTGTGGCACCTTTAAGGTCACTGTGATTGATTGTGGCAACGGTAGAGTTACTGGTGACAGGCATAACAACAGTAACATAATGGAATAAATAGAAAGAGATAAAACTCCGCACAATGTTCCCAAACAAGTAACAAAAAACAACTGAAAAGAGAAGAAACCTGAAATTGTCCAGCAAGAACCACAGCAACGCCAAGAATCGAATCATCATTAATAATCCGATCAAGTCCTTGATCTCCCCAAACAGCCTCCACACCACCAAAATGCTTACGCGCAATCTCAACCGCACTTTTCGCGGATTCCTTTTCCACCGATCATCATTCACATTAATAAATAGATTAATTAATTAATAAAGGAAAGAAAGGAACAAATGAAGTGAAGGATTGTATTGGATAATTAGTGTACCTCGGAGCGGCTCCAAATGAATTTGACGGAAACGATGTCGGAGATCTCGGAGAGTCGCGGAACGTACGCGTTTTGACGAAGACTCCGGCGCCGAGAATCGCGATTTGCGGAGTTGTCATGTTAACGGGGTTTGTTTCAGCTGCGAGATCTAGAACGAAATGTTGCTTCGAAAGGAAATTATAAAAGGGAAAAAAAAGTACGGAGAATTGAGAGAGAACGAAATTTATAGCTCCTGCCGAGACTTCAGATTTGAGTGTGAGACAGTGAGAGTAACTATTGTTTGTCAGAAAGTTTAAATATAGAAAATGTTAATGTTATTTATTTATTTTTTAATATCTGTAAAATTTTGTGTTATTGACACGTGCATAAGTTTCTCCCATAAATGTCTTATTAAACAATTCAAACTTTGCACGAAGTCATTTATACAAAGTGAGATGGTACTAGTCTACATTGTACTATCTTCATTATCTTTTAATTTGTATTTATTAAATTAATTTTTCATATTAACCTTTAAATCATAATCTAAACGTCAATTTTTAGAAAAAAAAAAAAAAACTTTTTATAAAGAGATACTCTAAATTAAAAAAAAAAAAAAATAGTGAATTAGGGTATATTTAATATAGAATTCAAATTATGTTTTTCAATTTTAAAATGCTTTTTTAATAGTAAAACATGAAGTGTTTGGCCTTTTTCTTCAGCATCTATTGGTTTAAAAAATGACTCTAACCTCCAGTGGTGGAGGAAATGCTCCCTTGTATTTGACTTTTTTATATAACCCTCCACTTGTTTCATAAATATCACCTATTCAACCTTCAAATTTATAAGAAATTTTATCAATTTCATCTCTTAAAAACATATTAACCTTTCAACATTATCAATAGATTATGACAAAAACATTTTCATTCAAATTTAAACAGAATAACTTAACAATTTGACAAAAATAAAAGTTAAGATCGTATTTTTAGAACTACCATATGCTCACTACAAAAGTTATTGTCAAACATAAATCAAACAAAGAATAATTCACTCATTTCTTCAATATATGTAAATAAATGTCTTTACATAAAATTATAAATACTCTCAACAAGGGGTGTTCAAAACCAGTTAACTGGTCTGAACCAGTTGCTTTTTGAGTGGGTTTTCTGGAAAATCGAACGAATTTTACTAATTTTTATTTTAGGCAAATCTGAAAATAAAAATTGGCCAATACTATTCTCTCTACCCAATTTTCTGGCAATAATTTCTTGAAAGCACCAATAGAAGACAATGCTGGTTTGCTTCCCAGGAAGCTTCAAAGAAATTTCTTTTTGGCTTTAATAAATTTCACAAACACCCCTAACGAATTTCACAAACAAGCACATTCTTCATTAACACCCTCACACATTCATGATCTCTCCTTCAAGATCTTGTTTAAGACGCCAATAAATGCAACATCGGATGAGCAACCAACCGGATTCAACTGTATTCAAAGAATTCATATAATCATCATTATAATCGTGTAATGCTGCTACTGAAAGTTACAGTAAGCGCCAATTGTCTCATTTTCTTTATAAGATATACAATGAAGGATGAATTGTAAGACGTAATCTACAACAACAATTATTTCACAACTAATGCGCTAATGTATCTAAAAAAATCTTACTGAATGAGTCGGAAGACAAAGTTAGAACTGTGGAGGTCGATGAAATTGCAGTCTGTTTCTAGTGCCGGTAGGTATATGGTTTCCCTTGGCTCCTCGGTTACTCCACTCTGCGTAGCATACTCCATTGCCATCTCATAATCCACCTGCAAATTTATCAAAAGTTAGATTCCTGGACGTTAGTCAAAAGTTATACCTAAAAGTTAATATTAAAGATGTTCAAAACAAGTTTTTTGAATTTTTGCACACCATGTAAACAAGAACTCACCTTTTCGACATGTTGACCAAGCATTTGTATGAGAGTCTCTTTCGTAACCATCCGAGAGTGTACATGTTTAAGTAGATCTGTGTCTTGTTCCTCATAACGTCGCTTCTTTGATACTTGGAATTGTGACATTTCTTTCAAAACATTGTATATAGCACCTGCAGCATCAGGTATATACCTGCCAGTTGACAGAAATTTTATCACAGTTTGTACAAACATAAAGAAAAAAATTAAGCCTACCACTGGGCACAGCAAACAGACAGTAATTGGAGTTACTTGCTCAAGTTCCGTTTTCTCTCCTGCTGCTCCCGAGCCTGAATTTTCCTCACTATTTTCGATTTTAGCTGGTTGCAGCACTGCTGAATGGCAGTCTAGAGAGACAATGATGCGGTCAGCATACTTGTTAAATCAGTAAATGACATTTAATAAAAATGGAAAATGCTCCACCTTAACAGCGGCAGCTATCTCACGGATATCATCCCCAATATACTCCTTGCCAGTCCCTTTGAAGGGGATTTTTGTACTAACAATACTCACAAAGACGCCAATTTTGTCCTGTGTTTGGTTGATCTTGTAATTGGTCCAACTGAAATTTTTTTAGCAAAAGACAAAAAAATGTTAAATTTATATTTTTGTATCTTAGTACCAAAACCAAGAGTGAAAAAATAAACACAAGATAGAAATGCAAATAATATATTCCTAATATTCTTACTTGATTCTCTTTAGCACAGTTCTAGTGACAACATCACCGCCTTGTTCAAACAGAAGAGGGATCCGGTTTGCAAAACGAAAAATATTTAATCCCTGCAATTTATATGGAAACATCACAGATTTTAAAACACTGAAAGAGCGGAGAATAAAATTCTGATGAGCTCTTTACTATAGCAATCCAATCGTCAAGCAATAGAGTGTGGTTAAGAATGAGATGGAAATTTGGCCTTTTTTCATTTCATAAGCAGAAATACCAATTTTATCCGCTAAATGGGCTCCCAAGTGTCCCCACTCCAAACTTTCTCCGCTTTTCTGTAACTTCTGATTTTCTTTTTCTATTACTCGTGCACTCAGGAAGCCTAGATCTGCTACCTAAAGTTTTTCATTCACCAATGTAGTCTGCCATTATTTCTTTCCTAGAAAATAATTTCATTCTGTTACTGTCAAGGCTCTCTAGCACGGTGTCTCCCCTTGTTCCTCTCACACAGTAATCACACAAGTATGACAAATACTAAGGAGTAACTAGAGAAGCACTAACTTGCTTAACATCTTTTCCACCCAGACTAACACCAGCTTCCACAATGAATGGATGTCCCTCGAAAACTTGAGCGCTGTATTTATTATTAAAACAAAGAAGAGAAGTTCAGGAACGAATGTTCATGCATAACAGATAAATATGAAGTTCAAGCTGCAATTACAATTATTTTAATTAAATATCAATTATTATCCTAAAACAATATATGATAAGTAACTGGATTTAACTAAATGGGATTTCAAAACACAACCTGCCTGAATAAGTTGCAACCATGTCCGGATTCAGCTCCTTTATAATTCCTAGACGGAGATTGTATTCCCCTGCAGGACTAAGACACTGAAAACAGTTTCTTAGTAACATGCCATACCACAATATACATAATTATGGAATGAAAAGTAGAAGAAAAACTAACAAACAATAAAAAAGTTCAACAGTCAGTCTGATAAACTTAACAAAACCATGAAAGATGAGTAGCTTACATCACCACTAGGGTCATCAAATTTAGCTTGACGAAACAACTGATGGATGCGTATTATTTGCTCAGAAGTCAGGGACTTGACAGCCGTTTTTGGGCTAAACCCTGGACCCATTTCACCTACAAGAGAATTATAAAGGTGGATTTAAGTTTACTATCGAAAGATTAATGTCATAATTATCAAGCAAATGTATATTTGAGTTCATCAACTGGTTGTAACAATTTGATTGTTTTTAGCACAATCTCATGAGTCATACAATTTCAGGCCAAGTGCAATTAGTAAGCCAATCTTCCTAACAAATGTATACTATAAAACTACATTCTAAATTAATGGTAAATAAGGAAAAACGAATAAAACCTTTGAGATTCTGCATGTGAATAGTGGAACATTGGAATAATACAACTCAAATTCTAACTTGCATCACGAAGAGACAAGATAAACTCGCAAAATTTTTACCAATTAATCTTTCAGCAAGGGATTTCCCTATATTTACAAATTCATGCTGAAGAAACTGCAGGAGATTCTGTTTCAAAGTTTCTGCAATGAGACGTTTGATTAGAAGTAAATCAACTGAAGATGGATGGTGCTTGGTCTCAACAGGAACTGGAGGCATCGCATCTGTTCTCCGTGAAAATCTAATGGTGATGTTTTGTTTACTGCACCAAAATGGAAGTAAGAAATTGAACATACAGATCTGATTTTCATGTGCGCACACATGCAAGAGAGAGAAATAACATACTCAGATACATCTGGATCTGGCACATATTTGAATATAAATTCAGCGTAAGGCGTGATAACAGCCATTTGTCGCATGTAATGCAATATCTTAGACTGCATGTATAGGAAATAAATAAAATAAAAAATACTACCAGTTAGCTAGCCAAATAACTTCTGTTGGCATGATGATAGTGAATCACAGAACTTAAGAAAGCTAAAGGAAATTCGGAAATGCAATAATTAACAATACAAGAACCAATGATATATACATACTCGGTAAGTTGTCCAATTTCCCTCAATAACCACTTGAACTTCAGCTCCATGCCATTTATACTTGTTGTCTCGTTTTTCATGCTTATGAATATTAGGAATGTTCCTGAAATCATTTTTAAGAGCATCGTCATGATAATGCCGAGAACCAAGTATTTTCTGAGCAATTTAGAAGGTTGTGTATGTAAAGAACCAGATATAACAATTTATATATCTGCATACTTAATACAGCACAAAAAATTGGATAGTACCAAATATATAGATAATCAGCTATGCGAGAAGATCTTAAATATCCAAATACTGCTAGTTTTTCAAGTGATTCATACCTACGTATATCTATATCCAGCTTGCAATATGAAACAAAATCTTGGCCCCTCATTGATGATGAGATCACTATTGGCAGACCTGTACTCATCTTGGACCAAATTAATGCCTGTGAAAACAAAAAAGGGATAAATTACTGCATTATTGTTACCCCAACTACCAAGAGGAGAAGTGTAGAACCACATTTAAGATTTTGCTTGCAGTGAGGTCATTATTGCAGCAGCAATTACATTTTTAGGTACGGCTCCCTTATATAACATCTATCTACAAACTCTTCATATAAAATGGAGCAATGATAGAAATGGTTGCCACCTACATGATTGGCACTAAATATTGATTTGATGGCATTTCAGGAACCTCTCAGGTAAACCCTTATAGCTAGTCTTGGTGAGGGTGCGGTTTTTATTAAAGGTTACATCCAAGACAATCACTTCAATACCTTAGGTGATGCACAAATGCAACCTCAATATTTAAATTCCATGAAAAACTTGAATGCAGCATAAACTACAGCCCAGCACCAGAAGAAGAAGTTCAAATTCAGTATTGAAACGGACAGTAAATGCACATGCAACCACATTTTGTGTGTACGAGCTGATAAATCTTATTAAATAGATGTAAAGCCAAGCCTGTTAAAAAATTACCATCTTTGCACCAAGACCAAACTTCCCTCGTGTCTGCTTCAAGCCATACTTAGTCCCAGACAAAACTGCATTCATAATTAACTTACGTCAAGCTTTAAAAAGTTCAGTTCCAAATATTTGTTACAGATCAAACATATATTTTGAATGAAATGTGAACTTGAGCTAGCAAACAACTATTATACCTCGACCAAACATATTTGGGATATCATCATGT